CTAATAATTTAAATAGACTAAAATGTCTAAATAAATTTCTCACTTCTTTGAACATTTATAACTTAAATGTTCATGGATACTTAACCGAACTCGAGACCTAACTTGTCTCGCCTCATTGTTCTTTTTCTTTCTCATTCAAACTAGAAATGGCCAAATTTACATCCATTTAGGTAAATAAAATGGAATGTTACTTGAACTTGAACTTCATCTTAAATAACTTATTTCACTTCAGTAAACATTAATGTGTAATTAATCCTTATAACTTGATCAATACTCAAAACTAAGCTAGGCTCGAGAATCATTTGCTCGGTAATAATCTTAACTCGTAACCGAACATGCTTGGTTCGGTTCACGACTTATCTTGAACGAGTAATCAAAATATACTCGATTTTTTTTTATTATTTGTCATCTTGTTATAATTAATCCCATCTTATAAATCCATTTATAAAAATAAACAGACCAGAATTAATTAATTACTGAACTGGCTCGATTACTAAATAAAATTTAACCGAGAATACTTTCAACTTAAAGTCAAACTTTTAACTGAATAACTTAATAACTGGGCTCGAACTAGGAACGAGCACTATTAATAAAAGTAATTAGTTCAAACTTAGAACTAAAATAATTACTTTTATTAATTACTGAATGGGATATTACACTGATAGGGTGCTCCGCCAGTTTGGGTGCCACCAGCCCATCACCCAAACGCTGATCATTACTAGTTTGGCCGACTGGGAGGGCATATACCGATTGGTGGGCCTTCCAATTTGATTTTGTGAGGATCTGGACCGACGAGAGAGATTAGAATGTCCACCCAAATGTACCGGTGGATCCCTTCCTGCAGCCGGCAGAGGGGTATTGATTGGTATCACAGTAGAACTGTGAGACTATACAATGAACCTAACAACTACGCGGCGATCTCACAGGACGGCGGGTTTCAGCCATATGCCGACCGGGAGAAGTGTTATGTAAGTGTCTGGTAATTTGTGATTTTCATTATTATTATTATTATTATTATTATTATTATTATTATTATTATTATTATTGAAGTTATTACTATTATTCATATCTTTTTTAGTTGTTCATAATAGTTATATGAATTTTATTTTCAGAATTCGGGTACGCAGGGGGCGTATAATACGCTATCGAACCTTGAAGACATGTTTGATACGCTACCTCCCCGAGCGCAGCAAGGGTTCCAGCAAGCTCAGGAACTTCTGTACGCTTCTCTGACTGTTGGGGTTCAGTCGGTCACACAAGGGGCATCGTCGGGGCAAATTCTATCTCAAGAGGAGTACGCCCCACCCCAGCAGACACAGTCCCAGCGGGCGAGGCATAGACCGGCGCCCCACATTGGTAGAGGGAGAAGACGCCGTGACCGCAAACCCACCACTGCATTCCCCGGGAATGAAGAAGACGTAGAAGGTGAGACTTTTTTATTTAACTACAAATATATATTTTATTTTTGTTTGTTTTTATTTATTTGTCCGGTCGAATTACTGAATTTTTACAAAAATTAATTAATTAGGTGAAGAAGAAGAAGAAGAACCAGTCACTCCTGGACCGACCACAGGATCGTCTTATTTGGTACCAGGGCCTCGGAGAGGATCCCGAAAATGCAAGCCTAAGAAAATATTTACTCCTAGTTAGTTTGTTTTGTATTCTGTGATTTTTGTGGACATTTTCCTTTTTTCTTTTATTTTTTGTACTGGATTTTCAGTTATTTATTCTCGATGGTTTTGTGTACATATTTTGTGGTTCACTTTTTTTTTTGTGGGTAATTGTGGTTGTCTTTTTGTATATAGTGTTTCGTGTATGTATGGATGCTAGATTATTATTTGACGAATGAATTGATATTAAAGTGATATTATTTCGTGTTCAAAATGTTAAATCAAAATTTATAAAAAAACTTTCATATTGAAGGATAAGAATAAAATTCAGCCAAAATAAACGCGATCATTGGTAAACGAGTTCGTGAGCATCCAAGAGTTGAGCCTAACTTAAAAAAAAAATAAAAAAAATTAAAAAAAATAATAAATAAACATGGATTCTTAGAATCCGTGTTTATAATAAAAATAAATAAATAAACATGGATTCTAAGAATTAGTGTTCTAATATAAAACGGATTTTCCAAATCCGTGTTAGTTAACACAAATAATCATAAAACATGTTTGGTTGAATTAATTACGGTTAATAACGTCATTAAGGAAAGACGGATTTTCAGAATCCGTCTTTTGCTCGGAATTATGGAAGACGGATTCTGAGAATCCGTGTTTTAAGGAAACACCGATTCTCAGAATTCGCCTGTTTTAGTTTTTTCCACACAACTTTTTTTTTTTATTTATTTTTGTCCACTTATTTTTTTTAATTAAATAAATGATTCACTTCTTGGAACTGTGAGTACCCACTGCACTCACAACATTAATTAATTGCCCAGTTATGATTCTGAATAAACCAATTAACCTGTAATCATGACCACCAATACAACTCTTCTTCATATGCTCAAAGACAAGGTTGAGTTTATTTTTTATTTTCCTTTTCCCCAAAAAAAGTCATTATTTTATATGTAAATTCATCAACAAGTTTCCAATTAACCTGTAATCATGACCACCAATACAACTCTCCTTCATATGCTCAAAGACAAGGTTGAGGTTATTTTTTATTTTCCTTTTCCCCAAAAAAAGTCATTATTTTATATGTAAATTCATCAACAAGTTTGTTCCTAAGTATTCATATGGAAGTTGTAGTGTTGTTCTTGTCTTGATTGTTTTCTGCTGAATAGTTTCTTCATTAAACAATCCAACATTAACTCTTCTGTTACATTGTTATAATTGTTTATTTAAATGAGTAACAACTAAAATTATAATGTCATTAATTCCTTTTTAATTACAATAACTAAAGAAAGCAATCTTTCATATTTTACAATAATCACTATCATTAACTAATCAATCTACATGATTAACTATTTATACCAACAATCTTACCATCATCTTCCCAATCTCACAATCCTAAATTGCAGCTACTTTATTATTATTATTATTATTATTATTATTATTATTATTATTATTATTATTATTATTTTGATGATACAAACTTACTATTTTTTAACAGCAAAACTACTTTTGCAATTTTAAACTACTTGGTTCAGCAAATTCAAGTAAGTATGCTGAATCTTTAATTAAGTTTTTTCCAATTTTGCATAAACTTTACCACTTACGATTGTTTTATTTTAGTCAATGGGTGCAAATTCTGTAATTAGTTTTGGATTTGGATGTCAACTTATATTTCCACAATTTACTCTACTATATATTTTTTCAAATTCTAAACATATTTTTTTAAAAAAAAATTGATAAGAAATGTAATTTATATTTATTATTTTTTTCATTAAGTCAATTTTAATTGTATTATATAACGATATTTATTTTATAAATATGTAAATAAGCTTGTTAGTGTAATTTTTTTAGGGTCACCCTTCTTTTTCTAACTGGTTGTTAATCCTATACCTCATAACTCCAACAATATACTCCACTCGCACACTTAAACATTTGTAATTCCACTAATTATTATTTTTTCATTTTGAATATATTACTCTAGTTATTAATTCTACAACAGGACAATTATGGAAAACGAAACTTCCATACCTTTGAGACTTTTGAAAGAAAATAATAAAGATTCCAAACTATGTTTAAAAGTTCTACGAATTGCACCTGGACTCTTTTACGGGAAAAATCTTTTAATGACGATCCGCAAAATTATTATGGCTGATGAAGAAGTAAGTAGTGCTATCCACTTTTATGCCATTTAACCAATTTTTATATTTTTCAAATTGTAAAACTTAATTTATAAATACTTTCGTATTTTTTAGGAAATAAAAATTGGTGTGATAATGTTCGATGATGAAATTTATTTATTTACTGAAAAATTTGCAATTAATAATACTTATATTATTCCTCATTGTGAAGTTAATAAACCGAACCAAACTTTGGTTACTCCAAACCTGGATGTAGAATTGGTGTTACATACAGATACTTCTGTTATTGATGCCGCCAAGCCTATTGGAAATGTATTGAAATTCAACATTGTGGATTTTGAAGATCTTAATCTTCATCTTCACAAAAATGGAGCAGGTTTAGGCCCATCAAACTGTATCTATAGTCTATTTCATAATTTATTTATATTTTTAAATTTTATATTAAATTAACACGTCCTATAGATGTTTGTGGAATTGTTTTGCAAGTCAGAGATTCCAAAATGATTGTTACTGGAAATGGTGTAATGAAGACTATTAGATAAATCACACTTATCAATGAAGAGTAAGAAAATATTTATCTCAAACAATTTTTTTACTATTTACAAGTATGCGACTCTTGCTTGTTACTCTGTGGGAAGATTTAGCATACAATGAAGGGAAACAATTGGAAAAAAATATGCCAAATAATCTTAGACTTGGAATTTCTCAAGTCACTCCTAAAATATACCTTGGTAATACTTAAATATTTTCTTATTATTATTTAACATAATCTTATTATATGTATAATTATTATAAATAAAAAATAATATCTTCTTTTTTGAGTTTATTACTTATTAATTTTAGGTGAACTTCAAGTTCAAACTACTGCAGCACCCGTGATAAAAATAGATCCACAATCTCATCAAGCAGACCTTTTGAAAAAATTGGCGTGAATATTATTTTATTAATAAAATACCATTTATTTTTTTGTATGTTCAAATATTTCTATTCATAAATTTCTAACATACATTTATTTTTATATTACAAAAATAGCTTGGATAAAACTCAAAATTGGATTAAACTCCGACAATTACCAATGGTTCAAAGAATGAAGTTGGCAAATCAAGTGACTCTCAGCACCATAATAGACAACAAAAATACATTATCGAAGGTAAAATTATTGTCCTGTTTTTTTTTTAATTTAATTATAATATTCTCTAAAATTTTCTTTTTTATATTTTTCAAGTATATGTATTATTGTTTCGAAGGAGTTGTTGGTAGAATTGAAAATAAATTGTCCTTGTGGTACGATACATGCACAAAATGTTCCGCTTCTATTTATAAAACCAAAGATACAACAAATTGCAACAAATGCAACCAGGAAAATGTCGAAACCAATCCTAGGTACACATAAAATAGTTTTTACTTTATTAAATAATTTTTAATATATTATATATTTATTATTATTTTATTAGTTGTAGATTCAGGGTTGTTTTGAATGTCGTCCATGGATCACATAATGCAACCATAACTATGTTTGAGTAAGCCGCTACTGCATTCATAAGTTGCACAGTTCTTGAATACATAAAATCCATTGAGGTGGTAACAAAATTCAATACAACATATTTAATATATTTATTTTATTTTATTTAAAACTAACATTCTTATTAACTTAATCATCTAGGGGGAGACTAGCTCCAAATTTTTTCGAGAACTTAGCTTGCAAACTTCAGCAACATTTAGATTTCTCATACCATTAAATGTCAAAACCAAGGTGGATAGTAAAAAGTTAACTGCTGTTGCTGAAGCAATCGAGAAGATTAACCCTCCCTTAGAAAAGGACAAGAAGAGAATAAAGAACGATAGAGATGTCGATGGAAATTTTCAAAAACATTCGCATCCGAAAAAACAAAATAAAATAAACAACAAATCACTCACACCTCAGCTAACGTAGAAATTTCAAGCGATGAAGAAACTATACAAACAATGAAGAAGACGTACGTCAAGAAAATGTCGGCTTCAAGAAACAAAAAAACCAAGAAAGTGGTTGAAATAAAAAAGGAGAAGCCATGAAGATATTTAACATAGCAATATTATTCCTACTTTATGCTTCTAATAAAATTGTTTCACGAACATGATGATGAATTTTTTATGATATTATTGTCGTTCTCAATTTACCATTTTACTATGCACTACGTTCCTTCTAATTCCACAATTCAATTAAACATCTACATTCTCTTTATAAATTTATGTTTGAATATAACACCTACAAATATACTTATTCTACATATTCTTACATAGCTTGTACTTATTTATTTTATTTCTTTCTTACATTGATTATGCAATGCACATTTTCATAAATTCACATAAACAATAATAAAAAATCTTACAATCTCAAACTACATGAACTTAAAATTCAAATTCTTCATAACCCAACTACCATCTCTTTATAAACTTATGATTGGATAAACTACTATGTAGAACCCAACTCATTATATGGGATTTAACACCAATGACAAAACGATGAGCAATTGAGAATGTTGATAAACTATTAAAAAATGTGATGGGGAAAAATAATTATTTTGCTACAGGTTACGACTTCAACTACATATTACCAACTTAAAATTGAAAGTCGGTACACGTGCAACGCACATGCACCTTGTTGATAAACGGATTTGATCAACTAAAATGAACACCCCTATTTCGTGAATAATCGGTGTTCGATGTATATTGAAGATAGAAAATCAAGAACTCTTTTGTATTATTGCTGTTGAAAGAAGATGAATGAGTTATCAATCCATCCTCTTCCTTTGATTTGTGTGTTGTAGATAATGGCCCCCTCATCTCTCACGACCCTATCTATATCTCTCACCTTTTTACACAAGTGGGCCAAGTGGGCCTATTAAAATAAAGATAAAGGGGACAATAGTATTGAATGCAATATGACATTGTGGGGCCCGATCGTGACACTTGACGGCTTCGAATGACGTCTACTTTGTTGGCAATTATTGTGTCTGCTGGACTCGAATCCTCTCGATATTCTGGTCGGGCTGATGATATCAATTCTACCCAGCTCGAGTACGAATGATCTGGGCACTTGGGAACTCGGTCGATATTAAATAATCAGCTCAGAGAACCTGCTATATTTATATTTATTTAATACATATATCCACGTGTAATATTTTAATAGGCGAGGCCAAAATTTGATGTCAACATAGAGGCCCCTGACTTTAGGACATGTTCTGAATAGAACTGTTCTGAAGTCATACGTAAAATGAATTTTGGCTGCAATAAACGACACATTGATGTTGGCCAGATATTTTTGGAACCGTGGACGTTTTGTTGATCGTTTTCAGGCTTTGGCCTGTCGTTTGGCATGTCATTCGCGCTTTATGCTCTTTGATGAGCTAAGTCGGTGAAATGGACAATTTTTTGGAATTAATACGAAATGGGGGCCTGAGAGGCTTAGTCGGGTAATTTGGTACCCGATATGTGATATAATGCTCGTTGAAAGAGTCAAATGTCGGATAAGAGCCGTAACGGTTCTGTTGATCGATACGTAGGGCGCTCGGGCCTTTGCGAGTGCTTTTCATGATTTATGCGATGATTTTGCAACGACTCTTTTGCTACGCATTTTTTATGGTTGGCTCTGTTTGGCCTTCTTAGTTTTAGGGCATTTCGGCCGACCAAAACCACTATGGAGGTTTGGTTAATTTTAGTTTAATTTTAAGTCAGTTTTTTCACTCCGACTTAAGGCATTTTGGGCATTTTTTACAGATCGTCAGCATAGAAACTGACTTGGGGCACTTTGGGCCCCTGTTTTCAGAACGTCAATTTTTTTTTTTTTTTTTTTTTTAAAGGACGTCGGTTTTTTAAACCGACTTTGAGGTACTTTGGGCCTTTTTTTGAAGAACGTCAGTTTTTTAAACCGACTTTGAGGCACTTTAGGCCGAACCATTCACATTCAAGTGTTTAGCTTGTTTGTTGATGTCAAGATGCAGGTATGATGCACATATGTGATGAACGTATGTATGAATGTGTAAATATATGATGAGTGCGGTAAATGATGTCACCTCGACTGCCTTACCGGGATATTGGCCGTACCAAATCAACTTCAGGATTTGTTGTAATAGGTATTTGCCGTACCAAATCAATTTCAGGATTTGGTGTAATGGGCATTTGTCGTACCAAATCAACTTCAGGATTTGGTGTAATGGGTATTTACCGTACCAAATCAATTTTAGGATTTGGTGCAATAGGCATTTGTCGGACCAAATCAACTTCAGGATTTGGTGTAAGAATTGGGCATGTCATCTCAGCCGGAGCAGAAGCTCCACGGCGGGAAAAATATAGACGCTAGCTCACTCAGAGCAAATGCTCCACGACGAGGAAATATGGACACCGACTCAGCCGAAGTCGGGTTCAACGGCGAGAAAATAGGGACGTCACTCAGCCGGAGTCGAAGCTCTACGGCGAGAAAATATAGACGTCAGCTCAACCGGAGTCGAGGCTCCACGGCGAGAAGATATAGACGTTGGCTCAGCCAGAGTCGAGGCTATACGACGAGAAAATATAGACGTCGCTCAGCCGGAGTCGAGGCTCTACGGCACAACTGGAGTCGAGGCTCTACGGCGAGAAAATATGGACGTCGCTTGGCCGGAGTCGAGGCTTTACGGCGAGAAAATATGGATGTCGCTCTGCCGGAGTCGAAGCTCTACGACGAGAAGATATAGACGTCGCTTATAGATGACCGGTCACGGCATGAATGAATAAGTCGTTCTAGTTCCCAACATAGACAAGTGACTTCGGCTCTGGCGTAGATAAATGACCTTGGCCCCGTCATTTATAGGTGATTCCGGCCCCGACGTAAATAAGTGAGGTCGGAGGCGAGTGAATAATGAACCGGTTCAGTGGAACTGGATTTGTCTGCGGACGGATAATAACTCGATCCAGGAGAGCTGGTCACGTCGGTGAGCGAATGATCCACCAGCCCAGAGCAAATGAAACGGGACTCATCGGTGGGAGAATAATAAATTAACCCAGAAAGAAGTCTGTCAAATGGCTCAGGAAATGGCCGGTTGAGGGTGTCAGCGCGGCAACTTGGGTGCTCTAGTTGACCGGGCTATTCATGAGGTCGGATTCTGCTTCTCTAGCCGCGAGGTCGGGCCCCAGTTGGAAGTTTGGGCTCGATTGTGAAGTTGTCTCCATCTCGAGTAGTCCAACAAGTGTTGAGGTCGATCGGGTAGTGAAATCGGCATGTCTATGGAGGTCGGCCGACTTTTTGCAGTGATCAGTTACGTCATCCATGATTAGGGCGCAATTTTAGGCTCGGTCGTGATTATGCGGCTCAGTAATCTTTGAGGTTGGCCGTCCGTCAAACAATTGGGTGGTCGACCGTTCTGAGGTCAGCCAATGAGTCGACCTGTCAATTACGAGGTCAATGGTTCGATGTTGGCCGGGTGGATCGAATCGAACGACGGAGTGGTCTGCTCGGTTGCAATTTGGGGATCCGTCGACGGACGAGTGGTAGCCGACTTGTTGGTACGAGTGGCCGTTTTTTTTTTGTATACGTATATATTTATTTTTGATGTATGTATACGTATAGATATATTTTTTTTTTATGTATACATATAATACATATATATATATATATATATGTATTTATAATGAAATTCATAGTAAGATTACCTTTGGCCGGGACGAGGAGTAAGCCTGAGAACATTATCGCCTGGAGAGGTCGGGTCCTCCTTTGCTTAGGTCCTTGCCGAGCTCCTCGATTTCGAGATTTTGATCCATTATCATACTCGGTACTCCAAAGCCTAACCGTTTCTATTACAAGATTTTTTAGGGCCCTTTATTATAACACATTTTAGGGCCTATCTTTACATTTTTTACAATCAAATTCATAAGCCCCACATTGCCCAAGGTTGTTACACTTAAGAATTCATCCTCGGGCCCAAAGCTTTTCTTCTTCTTCTACATTTTGGTGTGCTCATCAGCAAATCTTTTAGTTTATTCTTTCCTGTTAGGTCTCTCCATTTCTTCATTTCCCACTCTCAATGCCCACAAAAGCTTTTAGCCTAATCCCATTTTCCCATCGCCATTTGATCTGTTTATAATAACATAAGAATCCGCTTCCTCTTATGAAATAGATGTTGAAAATCAGATTTTTAAGCAACAACTCGATAGTCGGCTTGACTATGCGGTCGGTCTGGTCGGCAAGTCGGGGATCGGAGATGACGAGGTCGGCCCGGGCTCGGGCCATAATTTAGGGGTTGGCGGATGGTGATGTCGGCCCATCTGCCGTGTGAAAGTCCGACGGCTATGAAGTCGGAGATGGCAAGGTCGGCCTTGTTATTGCAGATGGTGAGGTCGAAAATTTTGGGGTTCCGACGGGGCGAGGTCGACCTCGGTGATTGTGAAGTCGGAGACCCAAATTTGAAGGGTTTGACCCCGATGACTGATGTCGAAGAGGTTGGGAGATCGGCCCGACCTCGAAATCAAGCTCGGTGTTGCCGATCTCGGCCCGAATTTAAGGTGAGGTTGGCCGGGCTGTGGTCACATAACTCGGCGGTTAAATCGGAAAAAGTTCAGGTTGAGACTCGTCGACTAAGGTCGGAGGTCGGAGCGAAAGAAGTAAGGTCGGATCTGTCGTCTCGTTTCAGCTCGGCAATGATGACATCGAGAAAGGTAAGACTGAGATTCGTCGACTGAGGTCGGGGCGCTTGACGTTCAAGGTCAGCCATTGTTGAGGTTTGAGTTCGGCGACAGATAGGCCCCCGGTGGTGAGGTCGATCACCATTTTTCTGGAGATACGAGCCCATGTTTTGACGCTTCCACGATGGTGAGAGGTCAAGGTCGGACCCGATCTGTGGAGTTGCGTTTCGGCCTGCCGTCGGTGTAGGTGAGTGAACTCGGCCAGTCTTTGAAGAGGTCGGCACCTGCCGAAGTGAATGACCCTATGTGCTGCAAGTAGGCGAATTGAGCTAGGCGGTCGGTGACGATGTCAGCCGAGTTTGAGGTCGGGGATGGACATGTCGGCTGAAACTATGTCAGGCCCTAGCGACGTG